GTAATGTGGTTGTGTAGCCGGATGATAAAAGCCCCGTGTGTCGCGACGCGGGACTCTCTCCTGCGCTTTTTTATGGCTTGCCTCGACGGCCGGGAGTCCTGTGCGAAGTGCGGCTTTGCAGAGAACGCACCGCCGCTGCCACCGCCGCCGCAGCTGATCGCCGCAGCCGCCGCTTGACATCTGAACATGGATGTGCTAGGTGGCCCGTAAAAATCGGAAACAAAAATATCCCTTACACGTTTGTTACAGGGCTGTCGTAAGGATATATATATTTAAGCTGATGCACGGAAATTCCTCTGAGCTAAAACGAGCATGCTTGCTATGTCCTCAGACAAGAATTATATACAGATGCTAATGTCAAGGGACAAGAAAAACAGAAAACCAGTTTGTGACATCACGTGGAATAAGACGCAGAAGGCGACTTGCAGATTAGGAATAGGAAAAATGCCTCAGAATAATTGACACTTACGAACCAGAGGGAAAAAGAGACGCAGGCAGACAAGGACAAACAGAGAAGGTTGATACAAGGAAATTATAAAGAGCAAGAAGGAATAGAACAAATAAGTGAAGAAAGACGAAAAAATAATTGATTTGGAAAGAAAGGACTCGATATTGTAAAAGAGGACAGCCCGATACCATAGGGTAAACGGCAGTGTAAACAATAAAACTGGTGAGCAGCTAATTGCCTCGCATAAGCAAAACATTTGACGTGAGATAAAACGAGGAAGGGGGAGCAGAAAATGACTCCCGAATAGAAGGGGAGAAAGCGTCCAAATGGGTGCTCTGTGCGGAAGGCAAAAAAGCTGACATTTCCAGATCTGTTTCACAAGAGCATGCACGGCCCGCCGGGAAAAAGGTAGAAAGTGAATCATTGTTAATGTAACTTGAAATGCCGTGTTGGAGATTTTACACACAGGGGGAGAGCATAATAGCATCCATTAGATACATTAAATCGAGAGCTTCAAGGGGAAATGCATGAGGGAGCAGTGTAATTGGGTGAAGGAATTTGCCAGAGCAGTCACACGGAGCTCTTAAGCTAATTGATATAAGGGGAAGGAAGGAACACGAGAAAGTGCCATCGCTGTCTGGGCCGCGGGCGTCCCTCTGCGGCGGAGGCGACTCGGGCGGGCGGGCGGTGGGCGGGTTGGAAGCCTTTCCTTGTTTATTCTCCTCCGTTCTATTTACGCCCTTCGCCGGCCCAGGGATTACACACACTTAGTGGAGAGGAGCTTGTTTATACTTGGGGGTTAGCTGCGCTTAGTTTTTTGTTTTGTTTTGTTTTGATTATGTGGGGTGTTGGAGATGCGGAACTACTATATGTCACGCCGGGGGGGAGGGGGGTCCCGCGCATTTGATGCGGAGCTCGGTTTCAGAGCTTGCCCCGCGATCGTTACGTTAACTGTTTAATTTTCTTGTTAGCCGAGCGCGCCTGCACGGATTGCGACTCTAATCTGCTCATCCGTCCGGCGGGATCATCCCAGCCAATGCCGTTCGCGCCTGATCCCCGGTAATCCGGCCGCTTTCACAGAGACCAACACAGAGCCGCTCTGCGAGGCGAGGCAGCGAGGAGCTCCATCACGCACAGTTGCTTAGACACTTGACCGATTTTTTCTCCTTTGCTTATTATCTCTCTCGCTTCGCATCTTGCTTGGTTTCGTCAGTTCCCCGCCGCCACGTGCCATTGTTTACGCCCCAAGGCCTGGCCGGAGGGGGTGCGGCTCGCCTCGCCAGGGAGCGACGTCGGCTTCTCCCCGCTCGAGGCCGGAGTGCGAGCGAGGCTGCCGGCGAGACCAGCTCTTGCTGCGATTGAGCGGATGTTATCAGGCGTCCTTCGCCAGGTCGTGCGTCGCTTCTCGGCACGCTTTCTCCGTCTTGGGAACTCTAAGACTTTTACATTGTATATATATATTCCTCATTAAAACGTGTATTAAAGTATTCCTGTCACAAACACAACGGTTCGTGGCACCGAACATTTCTCCCACCCATAGCCTCCCGACGCACGGAGAGGAGGGATCGTGTCCAACCATAAACGAGACGCCGGCCTCGCTTGCCCCGCGCATAAATAACAACCATCCGTTATGTCCCCTTCGCTTTTTATCCCGACGATTATCCCTCAGCCAGACATACACATTAAAACCACATCCAGCTAGTTCTCCCCCGTGCTCCCTGTTACCTCTTTATCTTAGCTATTCAGCGCGCATCCAACTTCTGGCCTGGTCTTTATTAATGGCCGGATTCCAAGGCTGTCAAGCTGCCTTTCTTTCTCATCAGCATTCAGTTTTCGAGGTTCTTTTCCTTCGCTGTTTTTTTCCAAGAGTTTGTCTTCGGATTTTTTTTTGGTGCGTTTCCCTCTTTTTTTTTTAGGCGCATCATTGTATGGCATTCACTCGCGGTTTCTGATCTTACTTTCCTTCCCCTATTCATCCTATACGGTCCACGTCTTCCTCTTCCTCCTCTTAATAAACATCATTTGAAATTTTTTCCTCCTTTTTTTCGCTCTCTACCATTCTTGCGTTCTCTGTTTTTAAGGGCAGTTATTGCATCCTCTCTGCCCTCTTTCTCTCAGGTTAACTTGCTCCGGGGATATGGCTGCCCCTTTCAAATCCCGCAGTCACTTGTCCTCTTGTTTTAGCCGGATGTTCGGCCGTAAGTGGCTGCTTCTCCTGGAGGTATGGCGAGCGGGAGAGGAAGGTGGGGGGGGGGGGGGCTTCTTCCGCAGTGTTGGCTGGCAGTGATCCTGGTATTTTCTTCTTCTTCTTCTTATTCCCCCCTTTCTTAACTCCTCTTTTCTCCATATCACTTCGTTATTTATTTCTTCTGTCTTTTGCTTTCTGGTGCTATCCTTTCTTTTATCTTCTTTCACTCTCTTCTTCTCGCTTTATCCTCCCTTCTTCCTCATCTTTCCTCCCTTCTTCCCCCCCCCCCCCATTCTCTCCGCTCCTCTCCTCCCCTCCCATCCTCGGTCTCTGTCTCGCTGATACACATTTCCCTGTTCCTCCTTCTCTCCTTCTCTCCTTCCTTCCCTTCCCCCCTCCACCATCCCACTGTCCCTCTCACCTTCCCTCTCTCCTTCCCTCTTTCCTTCCCCACCTTTCCTTTCGAACACAACTATCCTTTCCCTCTCTCCCTTCCATCCCTCTTTTCGCTTCAGCCTCTTCATCTCCATTGCTCCCTTCTCTCTTCCCTCCTCTCTTTCCTCTTCCCTCCTCCCTTCCCTCTTCCCTCCTCCCTCCTCCCTCCTCCCTCCCGTCCTCCTCCCTCCTCTCCTCCCCCGTTTCGCTTTATGTCATGCAGATTAAGTTACTCATACTTTTTGTTTATTTCTTTGTTGAAGTTAGTTGGATGTTTCGTTGATGAATGTGGGCTGCACTGTTACCAGATAAAACTGGATTGAATTTTGGAGTTAATATTTTTGGTTGCGTAGTATATCATTCGGGCTCTTTTTTTCAGAATATACATTTTTTTTGTACCGGTGAGCGAAGCAAAATTAATGGATTTCAACTTCAGTGGTTGTTTGTTCTATTACATGAGTATAGTACTGTCACTTACTGGTATTTTCACTCCTGTATTTGTCTGCCTTTTTTCATTTTTGTTCCATTTTACCTTTGTATGTTGGGTCCAGGAGTTGTCATATGTATTATTAATTTGTTTATCTATTCATTATTGTTTTTGTTATTGCTATTTGATAGTATTGATTTGCAATGTTATTGTAATTGTGTGAGTCTGAAGAAGCTGTGTACTCTGTGTACTGGTCGTTGTAATACAAATGTGAATTATTTCATCCTCTGTTTGGGCTGATTCGGCTTTTCCTGCCCCTTGATTGGCTAGACGTCAGCTGTCAGCCGCGGTTCTTCCAATCAGTGACCTTCAGTTAGTCAGCCACTTAATTTCATGTGGATCGCTCCCGCCATTGTCAGCGAGGGTCAGAGAGTATCATTATTTGCTTTGCTTTCGTATAAGGATATCAAAAGTCGCCTACAGTATGTATTAACCACGTGGTGCATTCTCTCTCTTTATCAACCGATCGCCGGATATCCTGCGGAGCCAGTCAGCCTTCTCGCTCTCCTGTTGGTGATAACAGGAGGCAGAGAGGGAGAGCACTGGAGGGAAAGAGCATGGAGGGGAGAGGAGGGAGAAGGAGAGGGAGAAGTGACAGGGTAGGAGCGGGAGGGTACTGGGGGAGGACAGGGAGGGAGCAGGAGGGAAACATTGGCCTGTTGCGAGAAATTCATTGTTATCTGTGCTTGGCGAGCCCTCGGCGACGGAAGTGTGCCCGGGCCCCACCGCGATTGTATGCAAATGATGAGATATTGTTCATGGAAGCGAGTTTCGGAGGGCGCCTTCCGTACAACAGGTATGCCGACGTACACGCACTCAGACATCCTCAACACACACACATGCTCTTATGTAAATTTACACACGCACACGCCCCGGAGGAGAGGCGTGTAAAACAACCTTGACAGACATACAAACAAACAAACAAAAACAGACAGAGTGACTGACAGGCAGGCTTACTCTTCAATCAAGCACTATGCATCTTCACTATCGCTGTTGTGTTGACAGACGAATTGTGTTCGCAATTTACTCAGTTGTTTTTGTTGAAAAAGAGACGTTGGCAGCGTTGAAACTTAGACCAACAAAATGAATTCCGCCGCTGTATGCATTTGTATTGCGCTCGTGTGTGAATATTCGAATTCATGTATGTTTAGTAAGCTGATTATTGTTGAAAGAGTATTTATGGATTACGAACCCTTGTCGAACATGCTGTTTATTGTGTTATCGCGAATTTAATGGCCGCTTTTAATGGTTGTTTATAGATAATACAAATATTTGTTGATAATTTTTTTTTTGTTTTGTTTTGCGATATAACGATAAGATAATGTTCAGTGTAAAAGCTATTGGGTGCGTGATTAAGTCATAGGTAGCGGCAAAGCATGAATATTAAAGCTGGAGTTTGCATATTTATTTAAACCTCATTTTCTCTTTTTTTTATTTTCCAGTCGACGCTCGAGAGGGCCAGGCGACAACGACGGTGGTGGTGGTGGCCACGATTCTGCGGTAAGTACGCTGCTCTCCTTTGCGTCTCTATATTCCTCTCCCCTTCTCCATTCCTTCCATTCTTCTCTATTTGTCTCTCCCCTTTCCATTCCTTTTCTCCTCTGTTTTCCTCTCCTCTTATCCATTCTTCCTTTCCTTTATTTTCCTCTCCTCTTACTCACTCCTTCTTTTCTTCTCTATGTTCTTCTCCTTTTCCTCATTCCTTCTTTTCTTCCTCATTTCGTCTTTTCTTCTCCATTCCTTCTTTTCTCTGATTCTTTCGCTTCTCTTTTGCCAATTCTTTGCTTCAGTCGCACTGGAATCGTCTGGTTTTGTTTTCATCTGGCGACATTAAGGGAAGGTAGGCCTACGCCCATTTCTTTTCCTTATTTGAATGTATTGCCTTTTTCCTCTCGACGGTTCAGCAAGTAAATGCTCCCTTTCCTCTTCTTTATTCGAAATCTTATCCCCTTCCCCTTGACGATTCACCAAGTAGGTACTCTTTCCCCCCCCCCTCTTTATTTCGAAATAGTCCCCCCCCCCTTTTTTCTGATTTCCTCTCCCGCATTCTCTTCTTCCTCTTCTTCTCGTCTCTCTCTCTCTCAGATCTCTGCCTCCGGGCCCGAGCTCCCTTCCGGGCCCGCGACGGCTTTTCATGGAAACAAGCACATATCAGCCGCTTGAGCAATAGACGGCTTGTTTACAGTTCGTACTTGACAAAGGGGTTGAGTCAGCAGTCTGTATATTGTGTGGACTCGACAAACACGGCGGTGCGGCTGCGGCGTGCGGGGATCATTACACAGGCGGTTGCGGGGATTCCGTGCGCGTGTGCGGGGTCGTGCGCGCCTGTGTGCGGCCAGGTGTGCGTGGGGGGTTGGGGGTTTGTGTGTGTACGCATATGTACACATACTTGCACGTAGGGATATGTTTTTTTTTCTCTTTCTCTCTCTTTTTCTCTCTCTCTTCTCTCTCTCTTCTCTCTCTCTCTCTTCTCTCTCCTCTCTCTCTCTCTTCTCTCTCTCTCTCTTCTCTCGTGCTTGTGTACGTGAGCAGACACACACACGCAGCACACACACGCAACATATACACGCAACACACACACACACACACACACACACACACACACACACACACACACACACACACACACACACACACACACACACACACACACACACACACACACACCTGTAGGTAGCGGATGAAGGGAAGGAGAGAGGAAATAAAGGAATCAGAAATGCCAGCATGGTATTTTGAGGGTTAAAAAAAAAATGGAGGAAAACTCGTTAGAAAAAAGTTTGCGTACGGTGAAGTTGTTTTCAACTCCAAAATAGAAATGTGTTGTTCTTTTATTCTATTACTGAATAATAAATGGGAGGGTTTTCGGCTTTGAATCCCATTATTTCTATTTTTATGGCCATTTTTTTCTAAACAAGAAGAAAAACGCTATTACTTTTTCTTGTTTATTTCCATTTGCTTTTGTTGTTTAATGCGCAAGACTTTTCGGTGGACATGCAAAGCTGCAAAAACAAGAAAAGAACGTAAAGGTCAGAACCGTCTGGCACACAAATCACGCCCACGCTCGCACGTCCACGAGAATGTACACAAGAAAACCCACGCTCTGACGCCCACACGCCCACGAGATTGTCCACACTCTGACGCCCACGAGATCGCCCACGCTCTGACGCCTACGAGATCGGCCACACGCCCACGAAATCGCCCACACTCTTACGCCCACACTTTGGCGGCCACACGCTCACGAGATCGCCCACGCTCTGACTCCCACACGCCCACGAGATCGCCCACGCTATGGCCCCCACACGCCCACGAGATCGCACACGAGGATCTTGTGTCCGAGAAGGGATCACAACAGCCGACGCCTCGCCAGACCCAGCGGACAGAAGGCGGAGAGGAATCAAAGAAGAGAAGCGAGTAAACACATCAGTCCGCGGGAGATGACAAGGCAAGATAACGACAGGAGGAGAGAGAGAGAGAGAGAGGAGGAGGAGGAGGGAGCGGGTAAGGGTGGGTGAGGGGTGGGGGCGAGCTGAGGTTAGGGAAGGGTAGGAGTGAGGGGAAAGGGAAGGGGGGAAGAGGAAAGTGGAGGATGAAAGTGATGGTTGGGGTGAGGGAGGAGAGGGTGAGAGAGAGGTGGAGAGCCAGAGGGAGAGGAGGGAGGAGGTGGAGGTAGGGCGAGGGAGGAGTGAAGGAGGGAGGGAGGTAGGCAAGAAGGGGGGAAGGGAGATATAAAGGGAGACATGGAGAGAGGCAGGGAAGAAGGGAGGGAGGGAGAAAGAAAAGGAGGAAGGGAGGGAGGGAGGGAGATAGAAAGGGAGGCAAGGGGGGGGGGTGGAAGGGGGAGCGGGTCCGCGACAAGGTCTGGCTCTCCGTACCTGATAAAATGCCGAGACGCTAACAGTACGCCAGCAGCACCGGGGGTGAGACGGTGCGCAAGATTAACACACCAAATAATATAGGTGTAGGGTGTGTGTGAGAGGGGGGGGGACGAGGTAAGAAGGTATGGAAGGGAAAAGAGGAGAAAGATAATAGGAAGGGGACGGAGAAGAATGAGATTAAGAGAGTGAGAGAGAGAGAGAGTGCTATAAGGTAGGATAGGGTGCATAAGGGAAAGGGAGAGAACGAAAGGGATGAGAAAAGGAATACATTAGGGAAGAGGAAAAATGAAGATGAATAGGAATCATGGAAAGATAAATTTGTTTCTAAATCGTTCGAATAAAAATAGCGAAGGGAAAAGAGTGGAAGAAACAAGAAACGAGGAAAATTGAAGAGCAAATAAATCCACAAATGACATTAAAGGAGAGACATCGGAATTTCCAGTACAAGAAAGCATTCAAAAGAACAGTTGAGTCAAAGGCATGAGAAGCGGAGATAGGAAAGGACAAGAACGAAGAAGGGAATTAGGAAGAACAGAAACAGCAGGCAGTGAGCGAAGCAAGGGAACGGTGCCCCTCCCCCCCCACGACGGAGGTACCAGTTACAGCAGCGGAGGCGGAGGGGCGGTGGCACGGCGGGCATTTCCTCCGCGTAAACACCCGCTCGTTTTCGGGGGAGGAGCTTGCGTTCGCTACGCCGCTCTTTGCACTCTTCTCCTTTGCGCCTTAAGTCCTTTTCTTTCCTAGTCTTCCCTTTTATTTCGGCATGTCACTCTCTCTCTCTCCCCTGTGCTTCTCTCTATTCTGAGGATTGAAGGGACTCGTATAGCCTCGGCGATAGCCACAAACGCACTTTTTCGTGTACAAGAATGTGCAATGTTCCGTGGAGGTTTCTTTCTTGGTGTTTCTAATGACAAGAGACTTCATCCGGACAGTTCCGGCCCATAAACGGCAGAAACTCTTAAAAAAATAATAAATCATAAAAAAGAAACAAAATCACCGAGAAACAGCGCACGGTCCGCCAATCGCCACGGCTTAATGGTCATTTCCACCCGCAACAGCTGGCGTACCGAGCCCGAGGTGCAGCTCCATCGGCGGCCAAGAGAAGCGGCGGCGAAATGTGCCTTCCTCCTTCTCCATTTCACTCTCCTTCTATCTTTCCATTTCTACCACCCTCCTTTTCTCTCTCTCTCCCTTTCTCCCTCCCCCTCCCTCTCTCCTTTCCTTCAACCTCCCTTTTCTCTCTCATTTTCTCCCTCCTTCCTCTCTCCATCTGATGACGAAATGTGCCACTTTCTTGCCGGCGTTTCCACCCATCGCTTCATCTTCGGCTGGCAAACTTTTGAGTCGTTTTTTATTTTTCTCTGTGTCTTTTTTATTTTTCTCTGTGTCTTTTTTATTATATCCGTTTTTCTCTCTTCTCGCCATGTCTGTCTCATTCGCATTTTTAGTTTACTCTCTCCACCTGTCCACCTCTTCGATTTCACCTGTTCTCGCCCTCACTCTCCTCTTCCTCTCCCTCTCCGTGTGTGTTCCTTTAGACCTGTCTGTCTGCTTGCCACCCTCCCTTCCCACCCTCCCTCCTTCTCTTTCCCTCTCTCTCCCCCTCTCTCCCCCTCTCACCCACCCTCGGCCAATATCAACAAACATGAATGAACCTTTAATGAAAAAAGGACAAAAATGCGAGGGAAAGTCCTGGCAGCAAGTCCTCACTTAGTATCGTGTCAGCACACCTGACCACCTGAAGGGGGTGACTGGGAAAGAACCAATTCTTTCTCATCCTGCAGATCCTTTCTTTATCCATTCTCTTTCCCTCCTTCGCTCCTCTCCTGTCTTCCTCCCGTTTCATGTCCATTCTACTCTTCTCTTCTCTCCTCCTTTCCCTCCCCTTCCCTTTTTTTTCCTTCCCCTCTCCTCTTCCTTCTCTTCTCACTCACTCCCCTTCTCTTCCCTTCCCTTCCCTTTCCCTTTCCCTTTCCCTTTCCCTTCTCTTTTCTTCTCTTCTCTTCTCCTCCTTTCTCTACTCTTTCCTTCCCTTCTCTTCTCCCCTTCCTCCCTCCTCCCATCCCCTCTCCTCCCCGAGACAGGTTCCTTGATATCGAATGACCCGTCAACACTTTAAAAATCGTTGGGAGAAGTGACTGTTAGAATTACTTGTTACTTGCATTAAGCGTTATCGGGTTTCGGAGGTGTGTGTGGCCGTTAATATGTTTTTGTGTTTATTGTTATTTTTTATATGTAATTATTTACTGCACGTTTAAGTGTTTCCTTCTGTTTTAGTATTAAGCAGGCCGCAATAAGACAGCCAGGCAAAGGGGGTGGGGGTAAAGACGTTGGAGATGTCGCTTGTGATAAGGAGGTGGAGATAAAAGAGGAGGTGGAGGTCGGAGGAGGAGGATGGAAGAGAAAGGAGGGTTAAAAGCAGTGATAGAAGATGTGATAATATTAAGGCGAAGGAGAAGAAGAAGGAGGATATGATAATGCTAATGCGGAGAAGGAGGGCGTGATAAGCCAAGGCGAAGGAAAAAGAATCAGGAGGAAGAGGGGGAGTTGAAGGATGAGGAGAAAAGATAGTGAGAGTGAAAATAAAAATGGGGAGTGAAGTTGCAAGAGGGAAGGAGAAAACGGAG